CATATCACAATTACTTAAGGCTATGTGAAGACATTCACACAGTTAACTTTGAATGGCTTTTAAAATCATATTTGGTAAGAATCTTCAATTGTCCTTTTCTAAACTTTACCATCTCTAGCCCCAGTAAATTGAGTGAACAGTTTTCTTTGAATATATAAGCTTTAATACAAGAACAATGTGAGAATCAAAATGTATGTACTACTGCATTAAAAGCTTTATGACTGCTACTAGTGTGATCTAGAACCATACTACCATTGGAAAGCATTACTAATTGATTGTACCTTTAAGCAAACATGAATTCATTCAAAAATATGGTTGTTTTTTACAAGTCGTTTAAATAAGGATACAGGTGGACCTGTTGCAGCAATGAGAAGTACACGTTGTCATGTCGAAAACGAACTTTACAACTTTGGGGGGGGGGAGGGGAGGATTGAGTAGGAGGGTGGGGGGGGGGCTGGGAAGAGATGTGAAGGGTAAACAAAGGAGAAGGCTACAATGCTTGATAGGAAATGTACTCATTATCTTGCCCATGTAATTGTAACCCTTCTGTACAGTATGTTCACAATAAAAAGGTTGTTTTTTAATTTAATTTTATTGTCTAGGTGATGTACAGAAGGGTTACAGTTACATATGAAAGGTAGTGAGTACATTTCTTGTCAAATATTGTTATCCCCTCCCTAGCTTTTCTCTCATTTTCCTTCCCCGCAATGTGTTTGTATCTGTTAAATACTAGGTACTTACTTACTTGTTCTAAGTTCTGGGAAAATAAAATTAAGAACTACTTAAGAAAGCTTATTGAATGAGCTTATTAGGTAAATCACTTGTATTTTAGACTACAAACATTAAAAATGACTTTGTATGTGATCAAAATGGCTATGTTGTATAAAAATATACCAAAAACTCTTTTATCACTATTCTTTCACAACCCCTGTGTGTAATATTAGGTCTTGTTCATTTTATGACCAGTCACAAAACTACCATTACCCCTCGTAAATGCTTTGCATATTTTAGTACAGAAATGAATCGGCACCAGTAACTTATACCTGTACTTCTAGCTATTTAGGAGGTTTAGACCTATGAACCATGGTTCAAAGCACGCCTGGACAGTAAAGTTTGAAACTCCCTCTCTGATTACCAGCAAAAAATCTGGATGGAAGTATGACTCGAGTGGTAAAGCACCAGCCATGGGTAAGTCAGCCAGGCAAGAGCATGAGTTCTAGCCCTGTTACTGGTTTAAAAAAAAAGTAAAATGTAAAAACTGAAGAAACATATGTAGTAAATATACAGGAATTCAGAAGGATAATGTAACCTAAATGTAAGAGAATAGTACCAATGTCTCATTTTCTTTCTATAAATAATATATTAGCTGGGTGCCAGAGGCTCACTTCTGTAATTCTAGCTATTCAGGAGGCTGAGATCTAAGGGTCATGGTTCTAAGCCAGCCCAGCAGGAAAGTCCTGAGACTCTTATCTCCAATTAACCACCAAGAAACCAGAAGTGGCGCAGTGGCTCAAGTGGTAGAACATTTGCCTAGAGCTGAAGAACCTATGGACAATGCCCAGGCCCAGAGTTCAAGCTGATGAGCACCACCACCAACAACAAATAATAATAATAGTAATAGTATGTTAAAGGTAAGCAATATATATATACGCTCATTATATGGGAGTTATAGCTCAACTTTTAGATAAGATACCACACTGGTCTTAATACTTAATATCTCAGAGAATAACTCACATTCTGACTACTAATATTTTAATAACAACTGTAAATTCAAGCTTACAATGTTAAGAAAATGTTAAGAAAATCTTAAATGTTAAGAAAACACTTAAAATATCAAACACTTCAGGAAAAACAATAATGTCTAATTTTACTGAAAAAACATATTATTCAATGTTAAACATAAATTATTTAATGTTAAACACAGATCTGGGACAGGATTGCACAAGAGGATATATAGGAAAGTAAAATTAAAACTGAGGAAAATGAAGTTATCATTTCCATTTTAATCACCTGGTTTATCTAGAAGTGACTAAATATATTCAATCTGTAAACATTTTGCAGGAAAATTTCCAGTAAATATCGAAACAATTTCTTCTTCTTAGTGACTAAGCATTTCATATTATTATTAGAAGGCAGCATGCTTCACTTTGAAGTACATTTTGCACTCAATTTTAAGCTCTATATTTGTATCAATCATGTCATTCTTTTTCATTTTATAGTTTCTTTTAAAAATAAGTTGGATTTTTTCTAAATGACATGTTTATATAGTCACATTTGTTTTCTGGTTTTTGTTGGAGTTGGAAAATTTCTCCTTAGCTTACATGGTTATTTCTTTATGTCATTGTAATTCTATTTATTCAATGTTTTTAATCATTATTTGGCATAATTGATTATGAATAAGACTTTGTTAAGTCTGGCTACAGAAATAATTGGAAAGATGAATTTTTATGACTAAATAACCAAATCTTTTTAGTTTTAATGTTTTTTTCTTTTTTTTAAAAATTTAATTTTATTTTATTTGTGAACATACTGTACAGAGGGGTTACAATTACATGGGCAGGATAATGCGTACATTTCTTACCAAGCATTGCAGCCTCCTCCTTTGGTTTACCTTTAGTTTTAATGTTAACTAATATTTCTCTTTTTTTTGTAAGTGGGAGATTGAACCTAGCTCCTTGTGACATTAAGCACGTGGTCTAACCACTGAGAAACATCCAGCCTTACACTCTGATTCTTTTCTAACAATGAGAACTTCACATATTTTCCAAATGAAATATTGGTATGTTTCATTGACATTTAAGAGAATCTAATATAGTGGCTTCGTTTACCTCTACATTCATTTATGCCTCTGAGCTGAATCATTTCCAAAAACATATTAGACATTTCAAGCTGCTTGCTATCTTAAATTGATACATTTGCCAATAATCTCTCAAGTTTAACTCAGAGTTTTCTTATTTTTATCTTATTAAATGTTGTGTGTGTGTAAATGTAGTGTGTGTGTGTGTGTGTGTGTGTGTGTGTGTGTGTGTGTGTGTGTGTGTGTGAATGCTGGGGCTTGAACTCAGGTCCTGAGTGCTGTTCTTGAGCTTTTTGTTCAATGCTAACACTCTTCCACTTAATCCACAGCTTCATTTCTGGTGTTCTGGTGGTTAACTGGAGATAAGAGTCTCAGACTTCAAACTGCATGAAGCCTCAGCCTCCTGATTAGCTATGATTACAGGCATGAGCCACCCATACCATGCTAAATGTACTTTTGCATTTTGATTTTTCAGTATACTAGATTTCTCATTGCTAAAAAATTTGAATGCATAGTAGTTACTAAAAAACTAAAATATCTACTGTGCATGAATCATTTATAATTTCCTTTCTTATATCAAGAGGAATACAGTTCAGAAGGCCCTATGATGAATATTTTGACTCTAAAGATATAAACACACGAGGGACAGAAGTGAGAAATTTAAGTGGGTGATACTACATAATTACAAAAAAGTACTTTTCAGTATCGTTTCAGAATACACTGGAACCTCTGTTATTTTGACATTGATCTCTGATCAAAGTGTGGTATATTTAGCATTGTCTCATGTCTCTGTACATAGCAGAAGTCAAAAATAAAAATAGGATGCAGTTTTGTTGAAAAATGCACAAAACACATACAACAATCTATATACTAATCTCTTTCTTATTTGGCTAGCTGACACTAAGGAAACAGTTGTTCTATCTTTATTGACATTTTAGAAATTGTTGGTCATTTTCACTAATTCTATAGTTCTAGCTTTTAAAGTTAGAACTATTGCTCCCCAGTCAATATTTACCTCCATTTCTCAAGATATTAAGATCTATCTTTTTGAAAGAAAAAGTGATGGAGAATATTGAGGTCTTACTTTCCTAGATCAGAATCAAAACTTTCGTCTTCAGAAAGTTTCACATAGAAGATCATCTAGCCACAAAATTATCGTAAATACAAAATTTGTTTTCCGCACCTCCATTACCAGTTCTCTTAGCTCTCACCTTAACAATCACAATTGTGCAGGTCTACCCATTATTTTAGTGGTTATCTGTTTCTTGTCAACTGTTTATTGCAGGTTTTTTTTTTTAAAAAAAGTACATTAATTATTGTGAGGTTTTCTATACAAATAAGGATGTGTGTATTTATCATGAACTTTAGAAAATAGCCTTCTTTCTCGTAGTACCACACGACTACCTACATTTTTTTACTCATCCAGGAACCCTGATATTTAGTTCCTGGTACACAGAAGGGCTAACTTTAATTGAACTGAGTAGATGTGGCTAGTTGGCAGCCCAGAACTCCGTCTTTAACTCTATTAGAAAACACTATAAACTAGTGGGATTTCCAGTTGAGTCTACACTCCAAGTCCCTTAGGAACTGGGATCTTGCTTGGCTTATGGACCTGAGCAGGAGTTGGGAATGGATTTGTGTTTAATAGTGAAATTAAATAGGTCAGGATTAGAAAATAAAGTATGAAAGAAAAGAAAATCCAGCCACGTAAAAGGTATAATAGGATTAGCTTGTACAAAAAAAAAAAAAACCAACAGAAGAATTATAATGAGAGAGCATGGTTTAAAAGTCCCCTTTATGAAGCCTGTCGGTAAGCAGTTGCCTTAGCAACCTTGGAGAGCGTCCATCCTGCCCCGCCCCTAGTCCTGCCCTCAAACGCACCTTAGTCCCACCCCCTGTGTCTAGCGCCTCACCCGCCAGCCCCACACCCCTTACTTCCGCCCCCACCAGCTAGTGGACCTAGGGTTCGACTCTCTGTGCCCACACTGTCAGTGCCTGATTAAAAATGTGATATCAAGCAAATAAATATAGAAATTTATCTCACCAGTATCATAAGTCTTTCGTTCTATAATCTACCAATCCAAGTCATCCTATGTTAATGGCTAAGAAGCCAGCACCTAGCCCGAGTGTCTTGGCCAGGTTTTCAGGCAGCGCTGAGGACAGTTGCAGTTGTCGAGGTCCCCGCTTTTGCCGAGGGAGACGTGGAGCTGAGCTGAGGCGGGACCTAAGCGCTTCCGGTCTTCAGAGGAAGTGGGCTGCCGGGTGAACTGGGCGCGGGGAGTCTCTCCAGGCCCGTTCCACCATGTAAGTATCTGCTCCCCGGCCTTTGCTTCCTTCCCCGCTTCCTGCTGCTGTCGGATCCTAACGCAATCCCCCTCTGTTCCTCAGGTCGAAGGTTTCGTTTAAAATCACGTTGACGTCGGACCCGCGGCTGCCGTACAAAGTGTGAGTGGCCCCGTGTGGGCCCGAGCTGGGCCGGCCGGGCGGAGCGCGCGGTGACGCCCCGGCTTCCACCGCGGACAAGCCGGCATCGCCAGGGGCCGGCCGGCCTGCTTCCCCACCCCACTCCCCGCCACCCGCCCCGCGCGCGCTGCCCTTCCTGGAGCCCGGCTCGCGGGTTCCCGGGCTCTGACTGCAGCCATTCCGTGGGCAGAGAGCTCTTCTCGTGGGCGGGTAGGACAGGAGGATATTTAAGTACCAAGCCGTGATGATTTGCTGGTCATCTTCAACAGTCCTGCCTCCTGGTGATTTTATATATATACATGCCTCTCACCACGCTGACCAGCTGTTAGAGGAACTGAGGGAAGGCACCCCGTTCAGACCCTGAAATTACTTGGCCTTGGCCTCCAGTGAGGCCTACTGACAGGTTTAAAAAAAATAACAATCTTTGTTATGTATGTTATTCAACAGTAGATGTCAATGTAATGAGTCTCAAATCACATTACTTGGGACTGTATAATAGAGTTTAACGAAATGGGGAAATAGGGCCATCTGCCCATATAACCCTGTGTATTGGGGAGGGGAGGGGAGGATGGGGAGCCTTGAACCCAGTCCCTGGGCTTTTTCCCTGACCTACTCAAGGCTAGTGCTCTACCACAAGATCCGTAGCAGTATTTCCAACATTTTGATGATTAGCTGGAGATGAGTCTCACAGACTTTCCTTCCCAGGCTTGCTTCAAACCATGATCCTCAAACCTCAGCCTCCAATGTAGGAGCCTGGCACTTGACCCTTTACTTATTCTTTAGCAGCTGAATTGATGGTTGAATATGTCTAGGTCTTCCTGTGGCTTTAAAGAAACACTCTTCAGGTTACTGCAACTCGATGTCCCATGATGCACAGGCAAAGGACAGAGTCCGATAAACGTTTATACATAATTAATATAAACAGGAGCATGGCTTATCCAAATCAGCTGATTACTGCTGAGATCTATAACCCATATAGCCTTTTAGCTTTTAGTTTTTGTTTCCGTTAGCTTTCCAGCTCTATCCTTTCTATACCTTGTTTCAGTTCAGGGCTTAAGATCTCAAGTAATGACTTCATCGCTAAAATGTCACTCTTATGGATTTATCCTAAAATTTCTTCTACAATTCTCCTTTTAACCAATTTGTCATGTTGTGTTTTAATCTGTTGCTTTCATCTCCCAAATAACACACTCAATAATTTCTTCCTTACCTAGTAGCCAGACCATAGTAGCCAGTCTTTTAAAATCAATCAACATCAACTTTGAAGTTCACACACAAACAAACACACATACACGTTTCTTGAAACATCAGCTGTGTACACACACTCTCAACCATCTGTGGTCTTTCTACATAACAGTATTCCTAAAGAAAATTACAGTATTTTAGCTTATGAGTATTCAAGTTGACTCATCTTCCAACATAATATTTGAAAATATATACGTTTTAAATTTCAAACTTTTCACAACTTTCTTGCCCTGTACTCTCAAGCCATCTGAAAAGAGTTCTTTAATCTTTCCTTCCTCATCTTTCCATTGTTAGTCCCATAAATTTGCCACAACATCTGTAAATGCATAATGTTAGTCCTCATATTTACAATTGTTTGACTTAGGCTCTAGATTCTACGTATTTTTTTCTTCTCAGCATTAGCATGAAGTCACATCCCTGACATTGATTTTTCCATCTGCATCAGATTCCTCACTGTATATGTATTGTAGAAGGGGAGAAGGGAAAGGAAAGAGAGAGCAATGTCAATATGTGTAAGAGTTCCTGGACAATTGTGCTGTTTTAATTAATATATACTAAGTGAAACTGGAGGCATAAGTGTTACTTAGTGGATGTGTGGTTGGGTATGGTTGCAAAAGACTATTGCATTCTTTGTAAACTGTCACATTGCTAATGTATTTGATTTTTTAAAAACATCCATTGGAATATCTTTATTTCCTCCTTCCCCTTATGCCCCCAACAAGAAAGGAAACAAAAAGAACCATTTTCATTTTTTAATACTATTCTGGAGGAGTGCAATGGTGACATCAAAGAAATCCATTCACAGTTCTTTCTAAGAAAATCAGTATGATATGCTGTGGATGATGTAATGATTCTTATACAGAAATCTGTCAGTTTCATCAAGAACCTGTACATATTCCTGAAAATGATACATAATTGTAGTTGATAGGAAGACATTAAAGATAACGTGGTGATGACAAATAGAAATGTTAGCTTCTATTTGCTGTGATTTTTGTTACCTTAGGAATCATACTTTTCTTGGTTTGTGTTTGTTTGAAACTTTTTACTATGTCTTTTAAGTGTTTTCTTGGTATAAAAGGCCAATTTACTTTTCAGTTTTTAAGTGGGGAAAGTCATGTAGACTGACCATATGACTAAGTCATTTAAAAAGTGTGTCAATAAAATCACACATTCCACTTAAAAGTTTTATTTCCGATATACTATGCCCTTTCTTGCAGATCATAGTGGAAAAGAGCTTCATTATTCTTAATTTGCTGGCATGAGCCTTTTCACTTTCATCAGTTTGGTTAACTGTTTTAGAGGTGATGGTTGAATGCACACATATGATACTCCAGGTAGCCTCTACTTAGAATGGAAGTGATAACTTTACTGCTTTGGATGGAAATGTTTAAACTAGAGGTAATAAAGTAGATTAGGGACCAAGGAGTGATTCAGCAATTTGAAATACATTTCATTGGACAGAACAATATATATGCTAGAATCATTTGTATCAAAGTGTTATAAAATAAAAATAATAGATTTACTTTTGTATGGCTTGTTAGTTGTCAAGTGGAAATTGGGACACTTACACTAAGGCAGTTTTTAAAAAAAAATTATTTTAGAGTTAATGAATATAGTGTTGCAATCAAACCAATTTTAAACCTAGAAGACACCTTTGTCTAGATAAGTAGAAAAAAAATAAGAAATTTTAAACAAAAAGGCTCTTTTTAAAATTCTTCTTTCAGACTCAGTGTTCCTGAAAGTACACCTTTCACAGCAGTCTTAAAGTTTGCAGCAGAAGAAGTAAGTAGCCATGTAACAAACTCTTTATGGACCAAGGTTTAGCAGTAGATTTCAAAGTTTTTTAATGTGCACCATCTCCCTGTGGGTCATTATTGGGTTTATGCTATAAAAAATGCTGTAAGTACAATGAAAGTTGAGGCTTACTTTTAGATATAAAATGAATGAGTTAACACATTGACACATTCATTTAATGCAATTGAATTTTATAGGCAATGCGCTGAAAATTTTAAGGAAAGTTTTTGTTGAAAGTGGTCAAAGGTTTTAAGAACCATCCTTATATCAGCATATATTCAGTCTGTTCATTTTTATTACTTTCATTCCAGAATTATAATTTTCTCAAAAATCTTCATTTGATTTTTCACATTTTCAGTTTGAACATGTATTTGCACTGTCAGTAAAATTTGGGTTGAAATGTGTCTAGTTTTTAAGCTGTTGGGATTTTTCTTTAATAAAAAGGAATTTTTCATTTGGAGTTACTTTGAGTCCTAAAGTAATTTTGTACAACCCTTGGAAGAGTAGCTTGATCTGGTAGAATATCACAAGAATGTAACTTCAGCCTTCTGTTTTAGTTGTGTCATTAACTAACACATAGGGGAAATACCTCAGTTTCTTTCTTCACTATTTTTTATTCTCTCATTGCTAAGAATCAAAACCATGGTGTTGTACTTGCTCAGCTAGCTCCGTTTATGACTGAGTTATATACCTTTATCTACTGTACCTTTTTTTTTCCCCCCCTTCTTTTTTTTGCTGGTCTTGGGCTTGATTTCAGTTCCTAGGCTTTTTTTTTTTTTTTCCTTCTTTTTTTTGCTGGTCTTGGGGCTTGATTTCAGTTCGTAGGCACTCTTTGTGCTCAAAGCTAATGCTCTACCACTAGCACCATAGTACCACTTCCAGCTTTTCCTGAGTACTTCGTTGGAGAGAAGTTATTGCCTGATCTTACAATCTGATTAAATGATTTTGTGTTATTTTTGTGGTGTAGTGAAAAGTGCTAGACAGATTTGGAGTAACCCAAGTCCAAGTGTATTAGTTCATAATCTTCAGAAAGTTTTATGGTGACAAAAGTAATTATAATAACTAAATGAATAAGAAAGTAGATCATTTTACAAACTTGCCCTCTATGCAAGTAATTAATGAGAACTCACTCAACCTATTATACTTGGTGGCTACATGTAAACTGCTTTCAGGAACCACTGTCAACATTTTCTTCTTAGTCATTATTTATTACATCGTTTGTTACTTGGTATTAGAGAAGTAATTGCAAAGTGACAGTATTTGGATTTTAATCCACTTTTATCTATTCAGACGGAAAGAATAAGTAGAATGAGGTAGCATGCAGATCTGAATACAGTTTTATCTTTTTTGTTTGTTTGTTTCAGACACTTGTCCATTGACATTCCTAGTCTGGAACAGCAGATTCCAAATTGAACAAACAGATATGTAAAAGCTATAATTAATAACTATTATAACATAGTTACTGTGTTGGGTTCTTTATAATATAAATGCACAGTTCATCTTTTTGAAGTTGAAGGAAATTCTAAGGAACATGTGGTAGGAAGTAAACTGACAGCCTTCACAAGCCTTCCTAAATTGATTAGGGTTTTGATGTACTTTCTAGTTATTATGCATCACACATAGGTGCTGCACATCTGGAAAGGCTCCAACTTGTTGACAGTAGTGAGAGGGGATCCCATAAAATGACATTGTGCAACCTGTCAAAACAGAATTGCCTTAAGAAATCAGGAGTCTAGATTTAAGTCACAGATAAAGTTATCTTAATAATTATGGTCCTTAGCATATGTTTTTTTCTAGTGACATAATTGGGATCTTGACATCCCTTGCAATATAACTCTTGAATCAAACAACTTTGAAAGGCATTGAAGTTTTGATTGTTATCTGAAATTCTTCTGGAGAGACCTCTTAAACACATTTCTTGGAACTTGCCATTTCCATAAGGACATTTTAGCAATGTCTTTTGCTTATATTTTTTTGCATATAGAAGAGAATTATATATGACAAATAGACATGTCTTAAGTCTGAATAGATATTGTTTAGGCATAGATTAACAATTAGCAGTGCTTTTCCTTTTAGTTAACAAATAAAATAATGATGTTGACAATCATTGGTATCCTATAGATTTATGTGCATTATTTAGAGTACAGGATTCTTTAAAGGTAAAGGAAGCTATAGCACTTTTCATTGATGTTATTTATTATAAAATCACATCTTAGAATGATACAATTGATATTAGGCACTCTATCTGTCATGCTTGTCCTTTATAGTTACATATGTATTTCTTTTTCTCCTTTTCAGTTTAAAGTTCCTGCAGCCACAAGTGCAATTATTACAAATGGTAAGAATTGAGCTTTGTTTTTTTGTCCTCAGTACTGGAGGTTGAAGCTAGCACCTTTCTAATGGTAGGCAAACACTACATCCTTAAGCTATATCCCCACATTTAGATTTTAGTCCAGGCTGGCTTCCATCTTGTTTCTGTAATATCCCAGTAATCTGAGATATTATACACCATCATTCCTGACTAAGGATTAATAAATGATAAACATTAAGATTGTTGTCTATAAATTGTAATGTTCAGTTTCCTTATGACTTAAGTGTAGGTGGCAGTTTATGATTCCAGTCTTGTTTTCATGGCATATTATTACTGAAAGCAGCTTTCTTTATTTAATTAGCAAGTAGTTTTTTTTTTAACTTAAGTAGAGTCAGAAAATGCTGTGTACAAAATTGAACAGAGTTAAAGAGAATACTGTGATAGGCTTGCAATATTACTCAGGTATACAATTAAAAATTTGAATATCTTGGACTGCCGATAATTTTGGTGGAACGAGTCTAAAGAGGAAGTAGTGAAGTAATGAGGACTAAATTTTGCAGTAAGCGTGTAAAGTAGTAATCGATGTGTGGGTGTAAGTAGACCACATGCAGTAGAATGGACGAAGGAGATGAGATTAAGGTATAGTAGTAGTATGATGTAACAGTTTTGATAGAATTTCCTGCTCTAAAGTATTCCACTTGTCACATTACTTGGCCTACTTTCTGGAGAGTTTTAGGTTCGCAAATGAGTAACTAAGAAAATGTTTTAAACTTAGTATGTCAGTCGAATGACTTTGTGGGTTTTTTCTCTACAATTTTATGTTTCTTAGAGGTGTGGAAAATGATTGTTCGCTTTTAGCTTTTTGAAATAAATGACTTACTGCATGTGAAAAATGATCAGAAACTGTTTTCTATAAACTTGAAGGATCACTGCAATGAGAGTTGGTCTTCTTTAATCCAACAATGTGTATAAATGTATAATTAGAAATTCCAATGGACATTTTAGTTGCCTGAAGGAGTGTCATTTGTGTTCTAGGGGTTAAGTTGTTTTGGCTTTTACCTATGCACACAGCAACAATATTTTGACAAACCTTTTCTTGTTACTGTTAAATCATTTTAGCTTTAGAAATAACTTACACAATTTTATAACTTATTTTCTAGATGGAATAGGAATAAATCCTGCACAGACTGCTGGTGAGTGTCTTAGATTGAAAACTCATAAAGTTAGTGGGAGCTATATATGTCAATACTGAATATTTAATTTGCATGAACTGGAGCTGTTATTTAGGAATTACACAGCAGCTTTTACTTATGTGTCTGAGTAATATTTGTTCCATTATATGTTTCTGGCTACAAGTAACAGAAAACCTGACTTGTGGTCACTTAGGCATTAAAAGTGTTTCATTAATCTACATAGTGCAAAAGTCTAAAGGCAAGATTATGCTTTCATGAGAATAATGATTTTGAGCTACCTCATGGGATTAGTGTGAAGTAATTCAAGTAAAGCATTTTTGTGGTCAGGCCACACTCAGCTAAAACTGAACTTTTAATAAATGTCTTTATTCAAAGTAGTCATAGTTCTTAAAAAGTTCTTTTATGATGGATAAATATATCCTTTAGGGCTGATAGTCTATTTCAAAATACATGTTATTCAATATAATGGAGCCTCATCCTTGAGAAAAGAGTACTTTATTATATTGTAATTACATTTGTATTAAAATTATATTGTCATCTTAGGCCACGGATGAGAATCTTTTTTTCTGCCAAGGACCTTTTAGATATTCATGACACATGAGCCATGCTTAATCAATGCAGGCATACGGCCATCAGCAGCTAACAGTGTCATAGGTATTTTTCTCATGTACCAAATGATTTTGAGGACCAGGTTTTCCCTACCCTGTCATTGGTGGAACTCAGCCATATAGAAAATGAGCAATTAGCTTAGCACTGGTGGCTCATGCATGTAATCCTCGCTACTTAGGAGGCTGTTCAAAGCCAGCCCAGGCAGGAAAATCTCTGAGACTCTTAACTCCAAAAAACCACTAGAAAACTGGAAGTGGCGCTCTGGCTCAAGCAGTAGAGCACTAAGCTTGAGCTGAAGAGCACAGGGACAACGCCCAAGCCCAGAGTTCAAGTCCCACGACTGACAAAAAAGAAAAAAAAGAGCAATTATTTGAAATTACAGATATATTTACTTAAATCAGTAGTTTTAAGTATGTAACTTTATTACATTAAAATGGTCAGTTATTGAAAACAGTGAGATAATTTATTACATAGATACCTTTAAACTTAATTGATATATGTTTCATATGTTATACTAGAAATTTTGGGTATTTATGTTAATTTGAATGACTTCTTACTCTGGCACGTTGTCCTTTACATTGCCTTTCAAAATTGAATTGCATGTCATTAGGCATGAAAAAAAAGTCTCAGAAGGCAATTGACCCAAAATAGACGAAGGTATCTAAATACTTGTCACATGCAATAATTTAAAAATTTTCATCTTTTGGTATTTTATTGTATATTAAATGAAATATTAAATGGTTAAATTAGCTTATGTTTTTATTAACTTATATTTTTATTGATTACATTTACTAGCATTAAAAGACTAGAAGTATAGAATTAGGTCTTAATAATGACTGAGCTTTGTATTTTAATTTTCACTACAATTTTTTATATACAGTTAATTGTTGGATTGTAAGATAATTTGCTGTTGTTTTAGATGCCTAACTTTTTGTTTTGTTTGTTTGTATAGGAAATGTTTTTCTAAAGCATGGCTCAGAACTTCGAATTATTCCTAGGGATCGTGTTGGAAATTGTTAATAGCTGCTACTTGGAACATTCAGTTGCCTTTCAGAATAAATACTGGTATATTTTGTTATTGTAAAATTGAAATCAAGCATTGGACGTACTCTGAAAACACACGAGTCAAAAAGCAATGAAAGGTGACCCGGTTCTTTCTTGTTGCTGGTACTCTTCCTGTGAAGAGGAGTGCTTATGGATGGAGGCTACCACCACCCCAGAAGGTCAGAAGGTCATTTGATTGCTACCTTACAACACAAGTAGGGAGTTCATTTGGGGCAACTGGTTTCTCCAAAATTGTGCTTCAACTGGAGGATGAATGGTGATTCTTTCTGAGAGCACTTGGGTTAAAATTAATTAAAATTCAATGAATCTTAACCTATTTATTTGTCCTTGGTTTTAAAAAGTAAAAGGATTTGGATGACAATGATTGATTACTACCATCTGATTTGCATACATAGTTTGATTTTTATATATAGTTTATTGTGAAGATAATAGTTAACAATCTTCCATCAGTTGTGATTTTTATTTAATTGACTGTCATTAATTTTAGTATCAACAAATCAAAAATTGAGTATTTTGATTGAAGCATTGGGTACATAAATTGAAAACCTATACTGAATAGTTTTAACAATGACTTCTCCAATCTAGTATTTGTCAAAGTGGGATTGTAAAGACATCCTTTGCTGGGTTATGCATTTCTTTATCTAGTATTTGTCAAAATGGGAATGTAAAGGCATCCTCTGCTGGATTATGCATTTCTTTATCAGCACCCTTTGATAACTCACGAGAAAAACTAATGCCTTCAAGGATAATGTATTTGTATGGCACTTAGAGAGTATTGTTATATTGATGCTATGAAATTTATAGTATGACCTAATTGGAAATGATAGTGAGTTACACTTACTGAAGACCCAGCATTTTAAAGATGTGCTCATCCAAGGGGATAAGAAGCCAGGGAAAGAAAGGTGACCAGGCTTTGGCAAGAAGGGAAGCAACAATGAAGAGGAACAGAAAATTCACAGTGTCATAAGAAAAAGCCAACTTTGTTTTGTTTTGTTTTTTTGTCAACTTCCAATTGACAAAACTGCAGTACATGTTGGAGCAAACTGAGATAGCAAAATACTAGATAGTCTTAAGTAGCAGAGAAAAAAACCATGAACCTTGTCAACCTATCAGTTTCAAAATAACTTTATTAGAATCCAAAGAATGATATGCTAATGAAAGCTTTTATTTGCTTTACGGAGGGGTATCAGTACCTATGCATATCCAGTGATTCAGAATGAGTACTTGACCTATATTTTAAATGGTGAGCTTTCTGGAGGAAAGGGTTGTATCTGTAGTAGGTTTTCAATAAAAACTTATTGAGTTAGTAATAAATGAAGTATCACATAGTATGTGTCAGTGTTTACCCTTCCCAAGGCTTACTGGGAGAAAGAAAGAAAATAACAGGATCAGCATCTGAAAGGTGAACAAGGTAATTTGAGAAATTTACCAGAGCCAGGCACAAATGATACATGGTTCACACTTACCCTAGCTACCTGGGAGGCTAAGAACAAAAGCATCTCAGCTCAAAGCCAGCCCTGGCAGAATGTTCACGGGACTCCCTTCTCAACACAGTTTTGGGCATGACATGTACCTGACATACCTACCTGCATTTATGACAGATTGGGATAGCCGTGATTCTAGGTCAACTTAGGCAGAAAAGTATAAGATTACATCTCCATGGAGGGAACTTGGACTTCGGAACACCTGTGATTCCAGTAATAGTGTGAAGTCTAAAATAGACAATGGCAAGAAACCAGACCACATCTCAGAAATGCGGCTGAAGTGGTAGCACTCCAGTCTAGCATGGCCTAGCAAGCAAGCATGCCCTGAGTTCAAAACCCAGTATTGCCTTCCTCTCCCCTTGCCCAAATTACCAGATATTACAAAATTGATGAATAGGATGTTAAATTATGAAATGGGGAATATGCTGATATCAAAAACATACTAATATTCAGGAAAGTTTGTGTAAATTGTGATACTCAAAAGTTCCTGTTTTGTATAAACTAAATCTACCTAGCCAATGGTTTTTGAAGCCCTATCCCTGAAGTTTTTGGCTTAAGTTCTGCTTTTAGCACAAAAGTCTGCTTACTATTACATAAATACTTCTGTCATAATGCTGTCTTCATTTTGGAAATTAGATTGTAAATCTTAAGACTTACTAAACAGCTGCACATTTTGTTATTAAGTAAATGTAATCTGTAAGTTCTTTATGCAGAATCTTTTAAATTTATATGTTCAAGTGCATTACTGATCCATAATAAGTTTTACAAAAATACATTTTGTTATACTATAAAACCATATGGTCTACTCTGATTTTATTAGAGTTTTTATTAAAAATGTCATTTTAAAAGAAAAGCAGAGATGATTAATGTTCATAAGTCATGACATGAATAATAAAAATGTCTGTATTTTATAGAAGAGAAAAAATTTAAGAAGGCATAGTAATTGCTTAGGTTAATAGGTCCTAAACCTGGATGATTATCAAAATGAAGGAATTAAACACACAGATTTGTGGAAAACATCCCTCAAATTTTAACTCATTAAGTCTGGAATAAGGAACCTTTGTAAAATGCAGTTCTGGTATTTATATGGGAAGTGAGAAAGCCAAACCTTGTGCTTTGTAGAACAGTATGTTTTCTGCCAGATCAAAATCACGAGTCTTGGACATTGTGCCTGCCACTGCATGGTAAGTACAATGTTGCTGAGTCTCTTACTGGCAATGAAGCCATTTTTAAAATGTTTTGAGAGTTATGTCAAATTTAATGATAAGAAAACTAAGTCTAGTCCCCAAATGAAGATACTGAAATTACTGTAAAATATTACTTGAAATATTTATTAATGGAAAGCATTGGATGGGGTTGGTTGTTATGTATCCAAGGTTATTTACAAAATCTCAGAAGACATCATTTGTATGTATAAATCATCCAAAAATTCTGGACACCTGTGTGTCAAATAGTTTGATGGATAATTTCATTTATGTTATCTCATTCACAACAATGTTAAATTATCCTTATTTATGCTTTCTTAAACAGTTAAATCCCGTCAATTATCCATATTCTCAAAAGTGCTTAAACAGATTGTTACTCAGTTCTTTCTCTTGTAATATTAAGCCAATTACAAAACTCTTGAGTCATAACTATCCTCACTTAACACCAGAATCTTTGTACAGATAGAAATAATGTGTTATTATAAAGGTGATATACAGAGGGGTTACAATTACATAAGTCAGGTAAGGAGTACATTTTTTGAAAAGTGTCACCCACACCCTCATATTCTTCGTTTTTTTCCTCTTGAACTTCTCCCCCCCTCCAGTTGTATAGTTCATTTCCAACATAGTGTCTAGTGAGTATCACTACTGAATTAGTTCAGTCTTTGTCCCACCATTTCCATGCTTCATCCCCTTGCCAAATCAGATAAACCTACAAGACAAAGCATACAGAAACCAAAAGCAGTGCCAAAGGGGAAAAAAAGAAAAGTCACCAACAGTACAATATAAAACCTCATTTCCATTTCTTGGATTTCATTTTGCAAAACATCATTATCTATGATTATATATAGATGGCTATTGAGACTTGTGATCCCCTCCTAAGAATATCCTCTTTGGTCTTACTCTAAGCTCTGAATAAATAATGTTTTTGTATGCAGTTTTTATATATTATTACCAAAACCACTAGTCTCTGTTTTCTCTCACTTGCTGAACTGAGCCATTTGCCATAGGAATATGACCATGTAACCGTGCTACTCAGTCCTACTTAAAAATGTACTTTGAGCTGGGCAGCATTGGCTCACACCTGTAATCCTAGCCACTCAGGAGGCTGAGATCTTAGGATTGCAGTTCAAAGCTAGCCAGGGCAGAAAATTCCCCTTGAGACTTACCTGTAATTAACAACAACAACAACAAAAATAAAATGGCACCGTGGCTTAAATGCTATAGTACTCACCTTGAGCACAAAGAGGCTCGGAGAGAGCGTCAAGGCCATGAGTTCAAGCACCACACTTATGACAAAAAAAAACAAAAACACATAGAATTCCATTGTGCATATATACCACATTTTCTTGACCCATTCATCCACTGAGGGACTTCTGGGTTGGTTCCATATCTTAGCTATGGTAAATAATGCTGCAATAAACATAGTTGTGCTGGTAGCTTTAGTATGGTCTTGTTTGTGATCATTCGGGTAAATTAAACGGTCAGATAAGTTGATGTTAGGCGAAATGAACCCCAAAATAAGGACTCAAATGGTTTTTCTTGCAATTGTTTCTAACATATTTATAAGATGATTTCTTTGTTGCTTAGTATGTCCCTCCCCCACCGTATAACCCCTGTTTTCACTGTGTCTAATGTTGGTATAATTTGTGGAGGGGAAGGGAAAAAACAAATTGTTTAAATAGGGATACAGGTGGACCCATTGCAACAGTGAGATGTATAAGATGTCGAAAAACGAACTTTACAACTCTGGAGGGAATAGGGGAGCGTAGATGGGAAAGGATAGTAAGGGGAAACAAAGGAGGAGACAACAATGCTTCATAAGAAATGCACTCATTATCTTGCCCAAGTAATTGTAACTCCTCTGTACAGTATTTTCACAAAATTTTTAAAATCAACAAAACACAAAACAACTTTGTGGGGTTGGAGGTATGGCTCTTAGTAGCGTGCCAGCCAATGAGCAAAGTGTCAGGTATCGAGTTTGAGTCCCAGTCTGTCAAGAAAAGAAAACAAGCTTCAGTTCATAATAAATTAGGCTCCCTACGGTTTCTCCAGTTTGTTCAGCAGCTAAGCTGAACTCCAGTGCTTCTCACTACCTCATATGCCTCATGTTCTTACACTTAGTGCCCCATTGTGTCAGGTCAGCCTATGGCTCACTAAGTTAAGAAGTTAACAAGTCTTTCTTCAGTCTTAGGCAGGATTACATAAGCAACCACTTCCTTTTCCATTAATTTTCTTTTAAATATAGAATTACTTGGGCCTGACTTAAACTACCTTTTAAAAAGGTCTGAGATGACTGAAACTAACTACATTGGTGTTTCATCTGTAATAGCTTCTTTACCCAGGGATATTTGATGAACCCCAAACACAAACGAATGGCTATTAAGTTCTATTCTCTCCTCTTAAAAACAAATTCATAGTGTTAACTATATACTGGATATTAAATACTGGAGGAAAAAAAAATGTGATTAAAACCTCTTTGCTGCTAGGTACCTGTGCTTATACCTCTCATCGTAGCCATTCAGGAGTCTTAGAGGACCGTAGTGCAGTGTCAGCCTAGACAGGAAAATCCACGAGTCTCTTCAGTTAACTACCGGAAAAGCTGGAAGTGAAGCTGTGGCTCAAAGTAATAGAGCATAAGCCTTGAGTGAAGAGCTCAGGGATAGTATGCAGGCCCTGAGTTCAAGTCACTGGACTGGCATCACAAAAAACAACAACAAAGACAAAAAAAAAAAAAAACCTTTTCTTTCTTTAGTCTTCCTCAAATGGATACATTTCCAAAACTACCCAGTAGTCATAGACAGGAAGGTGTGTATCACACCTTGTGTGCTAAAGGTAGGCATTGCCCATACAGAGGGAAGTCTGGCTTGTATCCAAGGTTACAGTGAGATTGACATGATTCTAAATACACATGATGAATCATGTTTACCATCCTTTTTCCTGGAATTACATGAAAGCAATTTTTGAGAACAAAATAAGCAATTCTGGAAGGGGCCTCCATATCTGGAAAAGCCTTCATAGACTGCTGTTGAACATTTCTATCATCTCACTTGCTTGGAAGTTTTAATAGCAACTATTTACACTCACAGATTTCCCTTGTAGTAAGCTTATTTATTCACTTAACAACAAAAAGAAGTGTGAGGATTGGACATGTAACTTCACTGAGTTGTAATTTTGTTACCATATGCAAAACACAGGCTAAGTTTGGCAGACAGAGCCAGTTTTGGCATATATTTCTGATTTTCTGGCAAAATTTGTTAGCAATGTAAAAGCTGTTATTGAGAGCATATTGTGATGCTACATTATGTCAATATTTGTTTGGCTGAGTATCACTTGGATTTAAATTTAGTCTTAAATGCACAATTTAGAGCTGATGATCGGTTTACTATGTGATTTTTGTTATCAGTGCCACAAATATTTTGACAACTCTTACGATGCTAGCTCTTCTGATTTTTTTTTTTTTTAGGTAAATGTATGGATAGATTTGAATTTACCAATTACATTCCCATTAGGATATTCTCATTACATAGGGATGGAACAGAAATGGAAATGAGTGAATAAATGGATAAACCACAGAGGTAAAGATGGCCATATTTTGTTTGAGAGAGCTACATCCTTGATTGAGCACAGAAAGAGTTTCTCAAAGTGATGGGTTATGACCACTTTTGAGAACTGTAACATCTGTGAAACACCTGGTAAACTGCAGGCCATACCACATACCTATTCAGTTTAATCCAGAACATCCATAACCTGCTTTTTGAATCGGAGTAGAGCGTTAGGAGAAAGTGATTTTCCTTATCAGATATGAAATGTGTATCAAACCTAATTGAGAGCTGGGTTATGGGTGCTTTCCAATATGGGCATAATAGTAATAATAAAATAGTTCTAAATAATCTCAATTTAATTTTTAAATTAATCCAGCAACATTTTCTTATGAAAGGATACTATCTGTATTATATAGAATGTAGTATTGGGAGAGAGTTTCTCTAAAATGCAATCTCCCTACTGTCTCCTTGTAAGACTGTATTTTTCTTAAAGACTACAGCAAGCTTATTAGAAGAGAAATATGAGAGAGAAAGATCATGTAACATGGACATACCACAGGGAAGATGGCAATTTAGCCTATTTCTTCTTTTTTGGACCATCTTCAGGCTTCTTCCAAGGATATAGTCTTGAAATCTTTATTCTTAAAAAGACATCAAAGGAACCTTAAAGTGAACTGGATTCCAAGGACAATGTACTCTTGGCATAACAAATATGGAACTCTGATCCATTATTCATTGCCTTCTACTTCCTACTTTTCAACCCCACTCATCAAAGAACATGTGTCTTGGTCAGGAAAGTTAAGTCTGCAAGACTTCACTGGAACCCTTCATTTGCTTTATTTTCAGGCATTTTTATTTTGCAGCTGGCTAAGCATTTGCTTTTGTAGCCTCATCAAATCCTTTGTCTATGTAGGCAACCTTTGCATTCCTAAT